CATCGCGCTGTGATGACGTCAGCTACGCGGTTTCGTCGAGCGCGCTTTAGTCGAACGCGGTTTTGTGGTGGAACCATCCCAATCGCCCACCACAAATATCCTATACACTGTAGTGAAAAAGGGAGATGAAAGATGGAAACATCTGCCAGTGAAGAAAGATGGAGCCTTGCCAGTGAAGAAGGGAAGGAGCTGGTGCAGCTTGGCTCTTGTGTCAAATTCCTACTTCCCTTCGACATATGCCTTCCTTGTTGAAAGCTTTCCATGGATAAAGAGACTGACAGCTGCTGTTAGTGGGTGGTAGGCTTTAATTCTATGGCTCCAGCCTCCACTGTCCTATATAAGAGCCCTCATGCATTGAACCCTTTTAGGTAGACGGGAAGGAGAAGTCTTGCAAAGGGCTAGTTGAAGCCCACGCAACAGATTTCTAACTCTGAAGACTTTTCCTCCATGTAGGTCTACCTGGGAAATTGTCTGCCAAAATAACAGGGAATATAAAACGCCTTGGACCAGCTACAGCCCATCTCAGGAGCAGGCTGTCTGTGAGATTGTGGCTGTGTTCTGAGGACATGTCCTCCATAAACATAAGCGAGATGCCTTTGAGTTGCAAAGACTGTTATGCAACGCAAATGAAAACTTCATTGACCTTGTTTGTTTTTCAAAACAATTTACAGGATCTTATAGTGGGTTATAGCCATAAATAAAATAAATCAATGAAACCTGTCGTTATTGTTGTGTATGGCATTGTTACATTAGCCAGGAGACCACAATGCTATTGCAGAGTAGTAGTTGGGCTACCAATTTACCAGTTCTGTTGTAGGATATGCTCATGCGCTTCCCAAGGTTGGAGGATGGGCTGGCTTTGCACCCAAAAGAAAGATGAACGGTTTTTCCTGCGTCATCATCCTAGGCCTCCCTCTCTTCCCCAGAGCCTTTGATAAATAGGCACTGCAACAGCAGAAATCTGACTGCCTGCATGGAACACAAGCTTGTCTCCCCATCAGAATGGTACCTATTTATTTACTCAAGTAGAACATGCTTTTGAACTATTAGGTAGACAGAACCTGATGTGAGTGACTTGAGCTCACCCTGCCTCATAGTGCTAGAATTCAAACGGCTGGCACGGAGACCATCTCCAGCATCATTAACACATTGCACCACCGCACCTCCATAAAACCAATGATAGAATGACAGGTATCCCTTCAAGTCAGTCTTGACTCTTGGACAAATAAGTGCAATTTCCTTGACAACATTTTGGGGAATGGTTTGCCACTGCTTCTTCCTAGGGTAGAGAGGCACCCAAAGTCATCCATCTGGCTTCATGTTTAAGGCTGGACTAGAACACAGTTTCCCAGTTTCTAGCCTAGTGTCTTATCATGGGGCGCTCTACATGGGGCAGCCCTTGAAGAGTATTCGGAGACTTCAACTCGTCCAGAATGCAGCCGCGCGAGCGATT